CATGTCATTATAAATATATAATGCTCCAGTCTTTTCTTGATTTTCCTTGTCCTAGCCTTGGAATCAGCCATTTTTTCTAGGAGCCCTGGTTCCTTTTAGAGGAGAATGATATTTGGACACAAGGCCTGAGTGGTATGTGCACTCGTTACTACCAGTGTGTCCTTGTTTCTAGGCCCTTTCACTGCACATATGTGCACACGTGTATGTGTATGAAATCATGATTTCATAACTATAGCTCCAAACCCAGCCCAATGCTATAGAAAGGCAGCCTAGTTAGGTACCTCAGAACTCACAGAAAAACACCACAAGCTGCCATCTCCTGAAACTCCATCCAGTGGCAGAAGACACTCAGAAAGAGGGTCCAGGGAAATGCTCTCCATCCTGTGGGTCTGGTATCTACTGTTCCCTCCAGGGAGGCTGCCCATGCAGGTAGCAGCAGCAGGGATCTAATAGGTGCCTTGCTCGGACTAGGCAGCCCAGGAAAGAGCCCTCTGCCTCTGCCAACTCACTACCCCACAATCCTGGTGTCTCTCACCCTCCACCTCATGGCAACAGAACTGGGGAAGTACATTCTTCCTGCATCAGCAGCATGATTTGGGGCAGAGACAGAGTACCAGGGCACCAGATGAATCGAGCTGACCAGAATAGCATTAGCACTGCAAAGGCTCTGAACACTAAATGTCATTGTAACTATAGCACACAGAAGTAGGCCAGGACTTGCATGATAAACCTAAAAACAAAGTGACTGTCTGCTGAAATAGAAATTTAAAATAGGATCCACAGTCTCTAACATAATATAAAAAATGTACTGGATACAATAGAAAAACCACTCATCATAAGCAAGAATGGAGAAAATAACAACTTGAATGAGAAAAGACAATCAACAGATGTCAACACTGAGATGAATAGGATGTGGGGATTATTTGACAAGGGTTTTAAAGCAGTCATCATAAAAACACTTCAATGAGCAGTTTTAAATACTCTGGAAGCAAATGAAAAGACTATAAAATCTTACGAAATAATTTTTTTTAAAAGAACAACTTGGTGATTATAGAACTGAAAAATACAATAACAAATTAAAATTCAGTAAATGGAGTTGGTAGCAGAGTGAATATTATATTACAGAGGAAGCAATCAGTGCTCTTGAAGATAGAACAATAGAAATCTCCCAATCTAAATTGAGAGAAAATCACAGGAAAAAGGACAGAGCCTCCGGGACCTATGGTGTAGTAACAAAAGATCTAATATTTGTATCATCAAAATTTCAGAAGAAATTGAAAAAGAGAGTGGGGGGCCAAACAGTATTTTAAGAAGTGATTGCTAAAAGCTCCCCAAATTTGGTGAAAGACACACCTGCAGAGTGAAGACTCTGAGCGATTCCCAAGTAAGACAAACCCAGAGAAATCCATGCCAAGATACACTATAAGTTAACTTTTAAAACTAAAAGAAAAAAATCTTGAAAGTAGGTACGGAGAAATGACACATCACCTACAGGGCAAAACTGACTTGAATTGTAGCAGACTTCTCATGTGAAACTAGGGAGGCCAGAAGGTTGTGGCAGAACACTTGTCAAGATGAATTACATATCCAGTGGATGTTTCCTTTAGGAATGAAGGGGAAATAGACATTCTCCAATCAAGGAAAATTAAGATAATTTGTGGCTAGCAGCAAACCTTAAAGAATGGTTAATTGAAGTTCTTTTGTCAGGTTTGTTGAAGACCAGATGGTTGTAGATACGTGGTTTTATTTCTGAGTTCTCTATTCTCTTCCATTCGTTGATGTGCCTGTTTGTACAAGTACCATGCTGTTTTGGTTACTGTAGCCTTGTAATATAGTTTGAAGTCAGGTAGCCTGAGGCCTCCAGGTTGGTTCTTTTTGCTTAGGATTGTCTTGGCTATATGAGCTCTTTTTTGATAGCGTGGAATCAACCCAAATGCCCATGAATGATAGACTGGATAAAGAAAACGTGATACATATACACCATGGGATATTATGCAGTCATAAAAAGAAATGAGATCACGCTCTTGGCAGGGACATGGATGGAGCTGGAAGTCATTATTCTCAGCAAACTAATGTAGAAACAGAAAACCAAACACTGCATGTTCTCACTTATAAGTGGGAGCTGAACACCGAGTACACATGGACACAGGGAGGGGAACAACACACACTGGGGCTTGTCAGGGGAGGGTAGGGGGAGAGAGAGCATCAGGAAAAATAGCTAATGAATGCTGGGCTTAATACCTAGGTAATGGGGCAGCAAACCACCAAGGCACATGTTTACCTATGTAACAAACATGCACATCCTGCACAGGTACCCTGGAACTTAAAATTTAAAAAGTTCTGGAAACAAAAAGGAAACGCAAGAAGGAATCCTAGAATATAGGGAAGAAATATAAAACAGCAAAATAGATACACAGAGGGGTAGATATAATAGACTATTCTTCTCATGAGTATTTCCTTTTGTGTACTTTTTTTGCTTTATTTTGTTATTCTTTATTTAGATTTTTAAGTCAAGCATTTAATTCATTTATTTTCACTCTTTCGTTTTTATTGATAAAGCTTTTGAGGCCATGAATTTGTTTCTTATCCTTGCTTTAAATGTCTTCCTTAGTTTCCATATGGAAATGGTATTTGCCTGCCATGCTGCTGCCATCATTCTATTTTTCACCTTTCTGAATCTGTTTTTGTTTGTCTTCCCCGTGTAGCATAAGTTGAGTCTGTCTTTGCTTTGTGAGATAATGTGAAAACCTTTGTTGTTAAGTTTTATGTGTATTTGACTATATTTGCTTTGTTTCTGTATATGATTCTCTTTTATTTTCAACTTTTTGTATTTAGGAAGGTTACTATTTCTCAATTGTCGCATATTTGAAACTTTTTTTATAACGTCCATACTTGAATGACAGATTAGCTAGATATAAAATCCTTGGTTCTCACTTTTTAAAGTTTCTTAAAAATGCCTCTACACTACTGCTTTGGTTTATATGTTTTTTTTAACAAGTCTGATGCTAGCCAAATTCTCCTGTCCCTTATAAATTATGTGACTTTTGTGCCTGGAGGTTCTGAGGAATTTTTCTTCATTTTTCATCATTCTACTGAAAGATGTCTTGAGTTAGTTTACCATACCAGATTAATTTTTTCCAGTACCCCCTGGATCCTTTCCAAATGCCGATTCTGGTCTTTTTTTATTTCTGGAAAGTTTTCTTGGATTATAATTTAAACACTAGTTTTGATTCATTGCTCTGGTTTTCTTTTTCAGGCGCTCCAGTTTTAAGTATGTGCCTTTCTTCCATTTCTGCCACGTTCTCTGTTCCTTCTCACTTCTTTCTCTGGTATCATTTTCATTCTTCATCATTGTTTTAGTGCCTTTACTTCAATTCCTTCATTAACTTATTTGAATTTCTTTTTATCATCTTGTGATTTAGTTTTTATTTTTTTGATGATAATCTCCTTTTCTTCCATTCCCTTTCTATGTCTAATAAACTATTTCTTTCTGCTTTTTTCCCCATTTCTGTTCTTGGTTTTTGAATTTCTTGTTTAAATTGCTTTTTTAATATTTCTGAATGCTTGTTTGAGGATATTTAATTCAACTTTTAATTCTGCATACTTTTCTTCTGCTTTGTGAGATTTTATTGTTCAGTGGTGTGGATTTCATTAACTGAAATATTTGACTTTCATGTTTGTTATCTTCTTAAAGAAGCTTTGGATATTTATATAGGCATTTTTTCATCTATTAATTATTTTGTGTCTTCTAGTCCAAGTGCAAACCTCTTCTGAGAATGTAGCATAGTGTGATTTTTTTCAGTGAATAACTTTTTTCTTTTTGTGTGTGTGTAATGGCAGTAGTGATGGATAGTCTTTTGGTTTGGGTTCTCGTTTTTCCTGCTGGATACTTTTTCCTTCTTGCACTCCCCTTTTTTATCCTCCTTTCTTTCCAGAAATGATGACTTTCTGACATCAGTGTTTTTGTCCCTACTCACTCTTAGGCCCTGCTCTGTACTCCCATTTACCAATCTCCCAGGGCTCTTTTTACACATAGGGTAGACTTTTCTCTTTCTTGGGTTTTTTTAGTTCCAATTTTGACCCCTGTCTTTCCTTTTCTTCTTTATCCTTTTGTGGGTCTCCCCTCATTCTCTGCAAAGGCTTAGGTCAGGGACTTGAGGTATAACTCTATATATTCGTTGCTTCCTTTTCGATTCATAGGTAATTTGAAGTTTGTGCTGTTACCTTTTCTCCATATATGAGGTTGTATTGTTCTACTTGGTTGATATATACAAAGATTTGAATTTAGGCTGCTGTAACTTTCCCCAGGCTAACCAGAAGTGCACAATTGTTCCCTTTTTAATCAAGGCTAGTCAAAAAATCAACAATAACACAGAAGCCTCATTGCCATTCTAGTTCATATTCCTGTTTCTTAAAGGAAAGCTTAAGTTTTCACATTTCAAACTTATTTCTTGAAGATAGGCTCATATATTTCCACAGGAGTGGTAGAAGAACTTTTAAGGTAGTGTTTTAAAAAATGGATTTTCAGCTGATAAATAATGTTTGGAAACAAACACATAAACACTCCCTTTTCTTAACAGAAATCAAAAGGAAGTAACCTTTTAAAACTTCCTTTAGATTCAGGATATGTATAAGCAGCCACTTTTCCGACGCACACGGGGTTTTCTCTTTGTTCAAATCCTCCCTCCCTCTGTCTCTGTATAGGAAGCTATTTTCTTTTTCCTTCTTTCATTCTTACCTATTAACCTTTCACTCCTTAAGACAAAAAAAAAAAAAGATTTAGGATATGTAGAATTCTAATGTTGCTATATATTTTATACCAGTGTCATCAGTTTTAATTCTTTGCTTTTAAACAAGATTTTCCAAAGGAACTTTTTAAAAAAACTCACCATTTATACCTCACATAATTAAAATTTTTATATGTCATTTATAGATATAATTGAATACTTTAACTGGGTGATTTGTAGTTTTAAATACTGGACTTCTCTTTTATTTTCTAGCTAATTCAAGGTAGTGCCTGGTGGTTTGGAACAATCATTTTGAAATTTCTGACATCCAAAATCTTAGGCGTTTCAGACCACGTAAGTACTTTTTAGTTAAAAACATGAAAGTTCTTATAAATATGCAGCTTAATGAAAACTTTGAAACCATCTATTCTTACCTCTTCATTTTACAGAGGTTAAGCGTCTTCTTTAAGGTCTTTAGACGAGTTACTGGCAGAGTCAATAATAAAATCTTGCAGTTCAGTGATCTTTGCAACCCACTAAAAAGAAAGAATATTCATCAATGCTGACTTGGCCTTTCAGGAAAAAAATACTAATAGTTTGTTAAGTAGTTATTTGTTTATATTTCAGTAAAAATACAAATAATTAGTTGTTTACATCGTAAGTTATCTATTTATTGCAGATGTTAACATATGGGAGACCGTCTTCAGCTTTGAAAACATAGAACTCTTAAAATCTCAGTATTGTTTTATTTATTTGTAACTGTGGACTAAAATCAATGTATGATTTGATGTTTTAAGGCCTTTCTTGTTATGTAAAAAGAGAATGTTAAAAAATTTTGATCTTTTCATTTTCTAGGAAATACATGCAGAGCATTTCTCTCTCATGTGGTATTCTGTTTGTTAATGTCTTAAAGAGTAGCCCTTTTCAAGGCCTAAGTCCCTGCTTAACTAACTGGTTTGGGGAATAGAAAACAATGCATGAATCTACTTTTTATTTCTAGCACTTTCTGTTTAGAAATAAGCATACATGAGTATATCATACAATAATCAATTTTGAAATTTACCTCATTTAATGCTATCCAGTTAGGGCCCTGTTTGGTGCTGAAATTATGTACTTTGGCAAGGGTTTATAGTATTACTTCTCTAAAAGGTCAAATGCTTTCTCTATGCAATATAACATGCAACATGTTTATATTACATAAAATTTCTAAATGTAAGTGTATGCCATTTATTGCTAGCTTTGCATGGTGGTTTATTAGTTTATTTGTTGCTGCTGTTTTCTGGTATGTCTGACACATTTCCCCATTCTCCTTTCCTTTTTATTGTTTTTAACTTTATTATATATGTCTTATGATAAACTTTATTTAGATCTTCTAATTTATTTATTTAAGTTTGTTCATGATTATGTTTCTTGACTTACTTCACACTTACTTCACATTGACCCCCAGCTCTTTACAAATCTGTTTTTTTTTTTTTTTTTTTGAAATACAGTCTCACTCCGTCACCCAGGCTGGAGTGCAGTGGCCAATCCTGGGTCACTGCAGCCTCCATCTCCTGGGCTCA